TGGAATGAATGTAAAACTAAAGTTCTCCCATGTAAACTATCATATATAATTCACAATAAAACATTAAAAAAAAAAAAGAGTCTTGGTACTGAAATAGGGTGCAGGGTCCAAAAGAAGGAAAGGACAACAACAACAGTTAAGTATTACAAGTGTGGCACTGTAGGATAAGCACTGGACTATGGCGAGGTCAGTTTGAATCACAAGGTTGGCAGTTCCAATGTACCAGCCACTCCTCAGAAACCCCAATACAGGGTCACTATGAGTTGGAACTGACTCAACAGCACTTGAGTTAACAGCACTTAACAGCATGTTGTTGTTGTTGTTAAGTGCTGTTGAGTTGGTTCTGACTCATAAAGACCTTGCGTAGGGCTCCCGTGGAGCGGCTGGTAAGTTGGAACCACTGACCTTGAGTGATCCCAGTGACCTTGCGGTCCAGTGCTTATCCTATAGTGCCACACCAGGACTCCAGTGATCAACATAGTCCTGAATATATTTACTGATTATCAATATATTTACTGATTATCAAAATCCATTTCATTTGTAGAAACAACTGTAATGTTAAAGAATGTACATACCATATCAACAAGTAACTTCCATAGAGGCTTAAAGAAAAAAAAGGGAAAATGTGTAAGACACAAGAGTAAAGTATCTCCCCTCCGCCCCCTGCCAACCATAAATGCACTAGCAGCAAACTCCCTCTATTAGGGAGCTGCCTCCTAACTGCCCTCCACCGGCACCCCTCCCCATCTCTACTGCTGTGTGTGCCCTGTGCTGCCCCCATGACCCATCATCTCTGCTGTCCCTTCCCCTCTTGCTTAACCCTGTGTAAGCAAACTCCTACAATTCCCTTACTACTGCCAACATCTCTCAGGGGAAAAACAAACCCAAACAGCTCTTTATTTTCCCTTTTGGGGGCCTGCTGTGTCTTTGTCTCTAACTTTGACAGCATTGCTTGGAAAGGAAGTGTTTATTCCTTTGTTTTAAATATTAATCCACAGAGCCATAGAAGTGCTTATTGGATTAGTTACCTTCCCCTCCTGCTTAGCCCACAGGTCCCACAGGGCATTTAGGATGGCGGCTGTAGCCAGGTGCACCACGCCTTTCTCTGGACCAATCTGGTTAGGAGAAAACACATCAGGACTATTTAAATTGAGAAAGACACGTGGGCTTCCTAGTTAGGAATACAGTTTAAGAATTCAAAAGCAGCAATGGACGCTAGCTTAAAAGCTTTAAACACATACACACATTTTTTTTTTTTTTCTGGCCCATTTAAGATTAGGCTGAAGACATCAACCCTTTTACACCTAAATACTTCAGCGTGTAGTTCCTAAAAGCAAAGATATCCTCTCATATAACCAGAATACAATGAACACATTCAGGGAATTCTAAAAGAAAGTCCATAGTCAAATTTCACCAATTGTCCTAATAATGCACTTTATTTTCCCCAGAATCAGATGCAGTCTAGGATTTATCTTACTGTGATAGAAACCTTTTTCTAGAACCTCACATTTTTCAAGCCTTGAACTCATGGTCAAATGCACATCTATATACGTAGAAGGTACTGTGGTTTTCTATGAACCTTTGCTCTTCTCGTCTGCTTCTGTTCTGAGTATCTTCTTTCCACAAACTCCAAGATGACTCACACTAGCTATCCACAGAAAGGTTGCCCATTTAATACTTTATCTTCTAGAGTTGAGACAACTTTTTCCAGTTCAGGAAGGAGAGCTTTAAAGCTTTAAAGATCTCTAAAGATCCAAATATGTCCAGATTCAAGTCTTACAGAAAGGAAATAATTATCTCGGCGTAGTGGTTACGAATCGGGCTGCGAACCTTAAGGTCAGCGGTTCGAAACTACCAGCTGCTCCGCGGGAGAAAGATCAGGCTTTCTACTCCCGTAAAGATTTACATCCTCGGAAACCCTGTACAGGGTCGCTATGGGTCGGAACCGACTCGACGGCACTTAACAACAACAACAACAACATTGATTATTTAAGTGGCTCAAGCCCTAATTTATCTGAATATTTTACATTAAAATTACAAATCTCTATTTTTACACTTGTTGCAGCCAAAAGACCATCTTAAACCTTGGTAACACTAGTTATAAAAGCATCTTACAAATGAGGCCTCTTACCCATCGGAGCTGCCCATCACTGGTGAGCTGCCTGTAGATGCCCCTGAAGTCATTGACAATGTCCCTGAGGTTCTTGTTCAGCACATGATGGGCAAGTGCATTTACAGCACAGACGACTAGTAAAAAAACATTAAATTCTTGTTTATATCTTAAGACATGTAAACACCACAAACTATGTGGGCATGTTATAAAACATTTTCAAAATCAAAATTCCTCAAAATAAGTCTTCTGTGATTGTTGTAACTAGCATCACACATATCACCACACCATTAATCCATATACTGAGAATAATTTCTGAAGAGCAAGCATATTATTTGATTGGTTGTCATGTGAAAAACAGGACTATCAATCTGAAAGTTTAAATTCTTTCATATCCACTTTACTCTGTAAAGTGTTTGACAATCAGATTCAACGCCAACCCTTGCTAGTTCCTTACTACTAAGGAATAAGAAGGCTTTGATATACTAAAGAGGAGGCCTGGTAGTGTAGGGGTTAAGTGCTCAACTGCTAACCAAAAGTTAGCAGTTTGAAGCTACCAGTCACTGTGAGGGAGAAAGATATGGTAGTCTCCTGTACAGATTTACAGGCTCAGAGACTCTATGGGGGGCAGTTCTACTCTGCAGGGTTGCTATGACTTGGCACTGAATCATTGGTAAACGGCTTGGTTTTGTTTCTTTATTTATAGAATTTAAAAAATTTAAAAAGAAATGAGTTTTTATTATTATCAAAACTCCAAACCAAACCCATTTATCAGGAGTCAATTCCAACTCTTAGCAACTTCATAGAACTGAATCCAACTGCTCCTTAGGGCTTCGGAGATTGTGAGCCTTCATGGGAGCAGAAAGGCTAGTGGATTCGAATCGCCGACCTTGTGATTAGCAGCCCAATGCTTAATCCACTGTATCACCAGAGGTCTTTTATTACCATGTATCAGAAAAAATCTTGAAGTAACAATCTTTCCAATATACTATTAAAGCTTAAGCAAAACAAGCGCTCAATTAGCATAAGTATATGTAAAATGTTCAAGCACCTGTTTTCCAAACAGGTTTCATAAGCAAACTGATCATCTGAGTGGCTTACTATTGACTTACTTAATGACAGAATGAACTACATTTTTCATAAGCGGTTCAAAGGCTAAACTTAAATTGGGTCAGCATTATCAATGATTTACTTTTCTTTTTAAAAAGTTTTACTTGTTTAAAAAGAAGAATAAATAAAGTAACAAACTCTACAGGAAGAACTCTTACATCCTTCACTCATTCTACACATTTAGACTATGTGTAAGTTACCAAAGGGGCAGCAATGGTTGCATAGCAAATTTCTTGACTTCCATGTGGGAGACCCAGGTTTGACTCTCAAGTGTAGCCACCACCACTAGTAAAGGTTCTCTGTATTGCTATGAACTGAACAGGTGTCAGAGAATTTTCATAGTCTGACAGACTGAGAAGACAGGCTTGGAGAACTACTTCTAGAATATCAGTCCGTGAAAACCCTGTGGAGCACAGTCTAATCCCCTTGTACATGAGGTTGCTATGAGTCAGGGGCTGACTTGCTAGCAGCTGACCAATGATAAAGACCAAAATAATTTAACTAAGTCATCCATTTAGCCCCAAAGCAATTAATTATATTACAAAAAACCCCAACAAACTTGTGTTTGGTATTGTCATTGCTTAAATGTTAAATTCTCAGATCACTTAATAAGAGATGTAGAGGAGCAGTTTTACGATTAGTCAGATACTATGAGGCAGATTTAAAAGTAGTACCACATGCTGTCAGGAAGTGCCTGGTCTGTGTGTGGAACAACTCAGATGACATGATGGTGCACATGCTGTAGTACACAGCCACTAGGGCTGAGGCACTATTCTGTGTTCTCCAGAGCTCTTGTTAATAGGATAAATAATTATTCTAGGTCAGACACTCATTCACTTGAAGGGCAAGGCAGTATCCTTCTCACTCCTGGGTGCTTTGTGTTCTTGAATTAAAGAAAATCTGAAGAATAAGCAACTCATAGAAAACTGTATTATTATCTATATCAAGCCTCAGTATTACTGATTGTTTCTATAAATCATGACCTGAAGCACACCACTGGTTTCTATCACAATGGTGGTGGTGGTGGTGGTTACGTGCCGTGGAGTCGGTTCCTACTCAGAGTGACCCTGTATAGCGCTTCCAAGGCTTCAAATCTTTACAGTAACAGAAAGCCTCATCTTTCTCCTGCTGAGTGGCTAGTAGATTCTGCTTACCATTTTAGTTAACAGCCCAACTCATAACCCACTAAGCTACCAGAGTTCCTTTGTACCACAATGGCAAAAGCTAAGTGTGATCTCATTTTATGCACAAAGAACTTGGATTTTACTTGGTGAAAGTGAAAACATTGAAGGTGGGTGACTAAAACTTACTGTACTCATCAGAAATTTAGTATGGGTGGTCTGATCCCCGGGTGGACTTTAGGCTTGCCTACTGGGGCAAGGAGCTCTGATGGCGTAGTGGTTACGAGTCAGGCTGCTAAACTCAAAGTCAGCAGTTCGAAACTTCCAGCCATTCTGTGGTAGAAAGATGAGGCTTTCTGCTCCCATAAAGATTCACTAAGCCCAGGGTTGGTTTGAACTTCAAGATCTGTGGTTCGGACTCACCTTGGAAACCCCTGTCCCTATGAGTCAGAACTCACTCGATGGCACTTAACAACCACTACCTTTAAAATACTTATTACTGTTAAGCACTTTGGAATTGGTTCCAACTCATAGCAGCCCTGTATAGGGTTTCCAAGGAGCAGCTGGTGGGTTTGAATCTCTATCCTTGTGGTTAGCAGTCCACTGCTTATCCTACACTGTCACACCAGGAGTCCTTTAGAACCCTACATTGGTCTATTTTATACATTGAAACACAATGTAACCAACCCACCCTGTCTCCTTTCTCTCTGTGTCACACATACCACTCTCTTCCTAGTAATGAAGAAAGCTTTATTTTTCTCTTTCTCTGGGCATTAAATGAAAGATTAGGTAAGTAAGCTGATAAAGACTGTAGGAGAACAGGATGAGCTAATGGAGGTGGTCTTTTCATGTGAGCGCTGAGGAACACACTTAGCGAGATGGTAGTGAGTCGCTGAAATATGTAGCAAGGCTAAATGGATTCTGTCATGATGAGGTCTGAAAAAGGCAGAAGCCAACAAAATGACCACATAAACAGTCATTTACTAAAATCAGAGAGACTGAAATGGATTTACCACAACCCAAGATGTATACCCGGACAATTGGATGGGGGTAGGAATGGACAAGGGGATGTGTTAGTGAGGCCTTAACTGACCTCAGTGACCACCCATGGAAGTATCCGCTCAGTGAGCACACCATGTGCTCAGCCCCTTAGCTCAAGTCAGCAAAGCCTTGGCAGCTCACAGATAGGGGTTCCAACGGCCTCTCCATGGCAAAGAAGCTGCTGTTGTATTTTGTAAGCTTGAGAGGTTTTACAAAACCTAAAGGGACTGTGCTGTATAGTGTGCAATATAGAGGATGGCAGCAGCTTTAAAAAGTGCTTGATCTGCAACCAGGGACAATGTAGGTTACAGAAGTGCAAACACAGCTAGCAGATCTATCATGGCCAGTGAGCACTAGCTTATGAAAACTCATACAGTAAATCGATGGCTTCATGGGGGAGAAGGGAGTCCTGCATCCCTGCCCAGTCTCCTCCTTCTGCCTGGAAAATTCCTAGTTACCCTGAGATGTACCTCCAAGCATCACCTCCAACCTGAAGCCTTCCCTGGCCCTCCGGGACAGAGTGAAACAGCCCTCTTCCTGTGTAGCTTATACACACTTTTTAAAAAGACAAATTCTTACACTGTACTATGAAAATCTCTTTTGTGTCTGTGTCTCAGATACGTTTGCAAAATAAGTATGTAGGGACTCTCCCTTCTTTAATTCTCTCTTTTAAAAATTGTTTCTCCAGTCTGACGGAGTCGAGTGTCTGATACATCAAAGAACTCAAGTCAGTTCTGCAGAATGGCTAACTCATGGGTTGTTCACCAAGCCCATGAACATACAGCACAGTGATCACCATGGTGCTATCAATTTAAAATTCATAAAAAGTTCCGCTGTCATCCATCCATTCATCCACCTATCCACCCTCCCTCTCACATGCACATACACACAAACATACACACCCCTCTACTTTTATCTGCTCAACAATATTTTTTTAAATGTTTCAGTGTGGTAAGAACTTAATTCTACAACTGACAGTCCAAATACCCACGGATGAGATCTCATCACCCTGAAGTTACAGAACTGGCTGTCACTCTCCCTGGACCCTCATTCTTTGTCCTATCATAATTTGGCTCCTCATGATCCACTGAAATTGATCTGACAAAGGTTTCCCTTTTGAATTTTTTAGATCTTCTATCACATGCATGTACTGCATATTTAAAAAACAAACATATATACAATTTATATTTGAATGTTTCATAGAGAAGGCACTTTGAGCAGTCAGGCAGCCAGATTTCTGCCAGGCCTTGCTGAGTAGCTCTCTGATGCTCAGTTTCCTTTTCTCAAAAATGAGGGTCTCGTCTTCAGTCTGTAACTGATTGGATTAGCTAAATGGGGAGTTAGAATTTTCCCAGGGAAATAGGCTTCTTGTTTAACTTTTGTGGAATATGGGGCCTTAGGTAGATTCCTGAGCCCCATCCAGAACCTTCTGAAGTGGGACATTCTTACTTGAAGACATGCCGACCAACCCAGAAAGGCTGGAAGAATGTAAGATTCTTATTAAGAGAAACCCAGCAGAAAAAAAGAGCAGACTATTTGGTTGTTAGAATATCAAGTAAGCTGTTTGCTTTGGAAGCATCAAGGCAAGTAAAATCAGCCCAGTAGGGAAAACCCCCTCCTAAAATGAAACTCAAAGAGAACCCATGAGCATTCTAAAACACTTGCTGGTGACTAACTTGGTCTACTTGTGAGTAGAAGTGGGGGAAACACAGCAATGAAGACATGGGCTGAGTTTAGTCATGTTCCATTGCCACCTGTTAACCTTGAGATGAGAGAGAGAAGAGGAAGGGCTGACTGTTCTGAAGTTTAGGGAGATGTGTGAACACCCAAGCCCATGGACACTGATCTAGCCACTGGAGGCTAGA